GTTATGTACCAGATACTTACTATAGTAGCTATGGCTTCCTTTGGGTTTTCGTATTCACGAAAAGCAGATTTTATTAAAAATGATTCAGGTTTTTCACCTTCTTCGTGCAAAAGGTTTTGGCACCTGAAACGTATTAATTAATCTACTCATTTATTAATTTACTTATAGGATAACATCATCTTTTGATCATCTCTTTTGATCATCAGTTTCTAAGGCTGCCAACAGATTGACTGCATGTTTGTAGTTAATGCGTGAAGTCGTAATCAACTTCACGCATCCGAGACCTCAACTGAATTTGATAACGACTTCACGCATTAACTGCAAGCAGTCGAAACTTCAACTTCAATCGTCGATGTGAACGATAGTCCAGGAATCAAAAGTAGTAATTGACATTCTTACGAGGATGTGTTATTATTTTTTTTGCTTTTAATATCATATCGTTTAATTTATCAAAAGTAGCAATCGACATTCTAATGTACTTGTAAAATTTGTTTTCATCTTGTCTTGATTTCGGGTACAGTGCATAAAAATCACGTTCCCTGTAGCAATAGTGGATCTCTCCAAGCTGCGCGTTTTCCGCGCAACAATAGTAACAAAAGTATCGTCCGTGCTTCAATCGCGACATGAATTTGTACACTGACTACCTGCAGTTAATGTGGACTGCATGTAGTCGGTTTCGACTGCATACATTGACAAGGTCTCGACTGCATGAAGTTGATTACGACTTTACGCATTAATTGCAAATGCATTACGCAACGCGAGTGCATTATGCGCACGTCCGTACACTGCGCTAGGATGGCGCGCATACATACAAGCCATGCTGCTATTGCCTAGTTTCAAACTCTTTGGCACTCTAGAACCAGCACTAGCAGTAAGAAGTAGCAGCAGAGCTCCTTGTCAAAGAGTTCGTCCAGGGAAGTACTGCCACCTTACCTATGTCTGCCGCCAAGCAGTAATGTCAGCATTACAGTGTTTCGGTTTTGAAGGGTAAAGGAACACCCTGAAATTACAGGCACATGGGACTTGTCAACGTATGTCTCAAGGTGACGGGCGCAGTGGCAGTGCCCCTCAGATTTTTGCGATTTAAAGATCTGTGTGTAGCTTACCATCAGGCGCACCACTTAGGTATCCGTCCCATCACTTGATATTATAAAATTAAATTGCAGAAAATTCTGTGGTTTGAAACAAAGGAATTATGTGTCTGTAATTTACCTGTTTATTTAAAGTGAGAGAACAATTATTCTTCTGTGGCACATGAAGATCCCAACATGTATGGAAAACTAAATCCTAAACCATCTCCTGTGAGAGGAGACTTGTGCCGAGCAACGGCACGAACATTTGCTGGCACTGGATTTGGTTAAAACAAGGGACGAGAAAACTTACCAAACATGATCCAGTTTATCGTAGTTCCCATAGATCTTGACCATTATTTTTCCTGAATCCACGGTGACGGTCGTATTGGTCTCACAAAAGTCGCCGTTATCATTAGATTTTATTTCGTACAAAATCGCATTGGACAGATGTGGTCTGTTGTACGCTGTAACAAGATTTTTGTTCATTGACTGTTTTGGAATTGATTTGAACCAATTTTGGGAAAAAAGTTTTATAAATATGGGTGCTGTTGTGGCGGGCGAAGCCGTTAAAATCACGCGGTCAGTCTTCTATTCATGAGTGTTAACCGAAACCCACAATTGGTGACCCCGACGTGATTTGGTTCGGTGGTGGGTTGCCGGCGCCAACTGCGGCACTAACTTTTCTGCGCTGACGCCGGATTGAATCTTCTAGCAGCTTGGTTGGAAACTAATGACCACTGCCGACTTTAAACACACCGAGGTTTGAAGCCTCTAACTGCTGAACTTTACTTACTTACTTTCTTATTGGAATCCTCCAGAGAACTTACTGACAGTGGAATCTTCCAGGAAACCTATTAACCGTCTATCTCGATTTCGAAATTAATTTGGTGTTTTGTGCCTTGTGTGGTGTGGTTTTATTAATATAAACTAAACTGACAATTTCATGTGACTAAACTTACCTTACTTACCTAAGCAAAATCTGTTTTTTTCTCATACTTACAAATTTACAAAAGTGAATTTCTTATCTTAAAATTTAATTCCTTATTGTTTTTACTAACAACAATACTGTTTATTATTAATAAATGTAATTAATATTACTAATTAATAGCTGTAATTAAACTTTTAAGCCATTTTTTAAATTATTGATTTTAGTTTTTAGGAAAATTAAGTATTTTTTACCATTTTGTATATTAACATAGGACTGCACAGTGGTTCTGCAGTCATAATTTCTAGACAAAGTGTGTAAATTTTTTGCTATATGTTCTTAGTGTTCTAATAGCATGTTCTAATACTGTGCATTGTTATGATAATTTGCTTTTACAAACAACATTTTTTTGTGTACTGTTTTGTGTGTCATAGCTTCGTTTTGCCACTTCACTCACTAACAATTTTTCCTGGTTTTAATTATTTTTGTTTGGTACTATAAAACCATTATCATGGCTGAAGAACTGTTTAAATAGGAAATTGAAAGGCTTATGGCTGAGAATGCTTGCCTTACAGCTAAGATTGAGAGAAGAGAAAAAAGGTTGAAGCTTGCGCTGTGAGTGTGAAAATGCCTCCATTTTGGACACACAAACCCGCTGTCTGGTTTGCCCAATTAGAAGCACAATTTGCTATTGCAGGAATAACTTCTGACAATACCATGTTTAACTACGTTATTAGTCAGTTGTATTAGAGATTGGCCGGGGAGATTGATGACATTATAACTGAGCCTCCCAAATCTGGCAAGTACCAAAAACTAAAAGAAGAGCTAATCCAACGACTCTCAATGTCACAAGAGCAGCGTGTTCGCCGGCTATTAAGCGAAGAAGAGACCGGAGGCCATCCCAATTTCTTAGGCACCTCCGGTCCGGGGACTGTAGGGCAGGACCTCTCGCTGCCGAGCGTGGTTGCCGCCATGCTCGATAGCGAGGAGTCCTGGGAGACGGTGGCCTCCTTTTGCGCAGAGGTTATGTCGCAAAAGGAGGCCGCGGAGCGGGTGCGCGAGGACGCGCCGGACGCGCACCCGCTCCGGCGCAGACGTACGGGGAGAAGGCGAAGGCAGTTCGCTGCTCGCCTGATCCCCTAGTGAGGCCAGCGGGCTCTGGACAGGGACTCCGGCCTGCATTGCACGGCCTCACTCGTCTGGGGGGCGGGTCGGAGGACAACCGACTCGCCCCTCCGTTGGCGCGGGAGCCCTGGCGTAAGGTAGGGCGGCCGGGCGGCGTCGTGGTGAATGTTCACTGATCCCACGGCGCCGACTCAACCGGCGAGTGGGAAACCCGGGGGGGTTTTAGTGGGGTAGGCCCTCCAGTCTGGAGGGAGAGTCCCCACATAACCCCTGAGTCTCCCTGGGCTCAGGGGTATCCATAAAGATTTCCCCCCCGTCAAAAAAAAGAAAGGCACCTCCGGTCACTAGCTGGTGCAGCTCTGTCCGATGAAAGCATCTTACGCTCCTTGTGGATGCGACGCCTTCCACAGCAAGTCCAGGCTATCTTAGCGTCTCAGGCTGAACTGGGCCTTGACAAAACAGCTGATCTTGCTGATAAAATTATTGAGCTTGTCGGTCCAAGGAACCAAGTTTTCTCTGCCTCTACATCAGGCCCTTCGTCCTCTGTGATGGCCTCCTTGACTAATGAGATAGCGGACCTGAAGAAGCAAACAGCTGCACTCTCTACTAAAGGTATCCGTGGTCGTTCACGCGACCGTTCCGTGTCTTCAAACCGCCGTTCTCGTGGCAACACTCCGTCAAGAGGACCCATGGTATGCTGGGACCACAAGAAATTTGATACCAAGGCAACCAAATGCACAAAGCCTTGCGCATGGACGCCCCCGCAGGGAAACGTGAGCAACAATCAGTAGAGGCGGCTACTGATTGTTTTTCTTCCGGCCGCCGCCTGTTTGTAACTGACCAGACGTTTAAGTACCAGTATTTCATCGATACTGGCTCAGACCTGTGTTGTTTTCCCAGGCGTTTACTCAAAGGCCGCTACAACAACAGTGACTATGACCTCAGTGCTGCCAACGGCAGTTCGATCAAGACTTATGGTAACAACTCCTTACACCTCAATCTTGGGTTACGCCGCGATTTCCTTTGGAATTTTATTATCGCTGATTGCAGCACTCCCATAATCGGCTCTGATGTCACTATAATCTTCTTCCGGATTGTCGTCATAAGCATCTCATTGATGGTAATACTAACCTTGCTGTTTCAGCTTGTGTTGCACAAATCAAACAGGACAGCGTCAAAGCAGTTTCAATTGGTGATTCATACTACGCACCCGTGCTTGCTGAGTTTAACGCGTCCTCCTGGTTTACCTATAATTGTAAAGCACAGTACGGTGCATCACATTAATACGACTGAAGGATCTCTCGTGTCATGTCGCCCCCGTCGTTTGGCCGCTCAGAAACTTGTAGCTGCCAAGAAAGTTTGAAGACATGGTTCAATGTGGCACTGCCCGTCCTTCTAAAAGTGCTTGATCGTCTCCTCTGCACTTGACGCCCAAAAAGGACAACACCTGGCGTCCATGCGGCGATTTCCGCGCTTTGAACGCTAGGACAACGACCGATATTCTGTCAGGCATATCAATGACTTTGCCAATAACCTCGCTGGTGCTACTGTTTTTAGCACTATAGACCTTGTGAAGGCATACCATCAGATTTCCGTTTTTAAGGACGACATTGCGAAGACAGCCATCGTTACCCCGTTTGGCCTTTTCGAATTTCCTTTTATGACCTTCGGCTTAAGAAACGCTGGTCAAACGTTCCAACGTTTTATCGATGAGGTCACACGGGGTCTCGATTTCTGTTTTCCGTACTTAGACGACGTCTTAGTTTTCTCTCGGGATGCTGCTACTCACAAGGATCATTTGCGCCTTCCTTTCGAGCGTTTCCAGAAATACGGAGTGGTCATAAACTCCTCGAAATGCGTTCTTGGTGCCAGCGAGGTTATTTTCTTAGGCAATTTGATCAATGCCCAGGGCACTCGCCCTCCCAAAGACAGGGTTCAACATCTGATGGATTTTCCACCACCTGAAACCGTTCAGGGCATGAGGCGATTCCTTGGAATGATAAATTATTATCGCCGATTTATCCCTCACGCCGCTCAATTCCAGGCGCCGTTAATCGATGCTCTTGTCTCTACCAACAGCAAGGGAGCCAAACCCTTTCCTTGGTCTCCGGAATTGCTCGAGAAATTTGAGGCGTATAAGAAGAGCTTAGCTGATGCGACTTTGGTACAACATCCTGTTAGCGATGCCCCGCTGGGTCTTTTTACTGATGCCTCCAGCGTACACATCGGCACTTGCTTGCAGCAACAAATTGGTGGACAATGGTTTCCACTTGCATTCTTTAGCAAGAAGCTGACTCCTCAGCAGTCTCAATGGCCCACCTACCATAGAGAACTCTTGGCGGTGTACGAAAGCGTACAGCACTTCCGTTACGTCCTCGAAGTCCAGCACGCCACTATTTTTACAGACCACAAACCTTTATTGTACGCCTTCTTACAGCGCCGAGAGAAGCTCGCTCCACCACAACTCAACCAGTTGTCTTTTATAAGTCAGTTTACGACTGACATAAAACACATCAAAGGCGAAGACAACACCGTGGCTGGAATACGAGGATCTTGCCAAGTCACAAAAGTCGGACGAAGAACTCCTAAGACTTTTAGAGAATAATTATTTCAGCCTCCAACTTGCCAAAGTTGTAATCGAATTTCGCCGAGCCATTTTCAATAAACTTCATAATTTGAGCCATCCCGGATCTCTTGCAACAACCCGCCTCGTAGCTGATCGGTACGTCTGGCCCTCCATAAATAAAGACTGTCGAAGTTGGTCTCGAGTTTGCCAAACTTGTCAGCGCAGCAAAGTAACTCGTCATAACTCCGCTCCCTTAGGCAACTTTGCTACGCCATCTGGTCAATTCATACACGTCCACATGGACATAATAGGTCCACTACAGGTTTGTAACGACTATCGTTATTGCCTCACGGCAATTGAGAGAGTGACCAGATGGCCTGAAATCTGGCCCATGCGGACAACGACGGCAGAAGAAGTAGCAGGAATGGCTCGCGCGTTCCAATGGATCGGGTACACCAAACGGATACGTACCACCGCTTACCATCCAGCCGAAAATGACATGATCGAGCGTGTACACCGGCAACTTAAGGCCCCTATTACATGCCACGGGAACTCCTGGATCCAAGCCCTTCCTTTCGTGCTCTTGGGAATGAGGTCGGCTTTTAAAGAGGACCTTAAAGCAACCGCTGCCGAAATGCTTTACGGTGAAACCTTGCGCCTTCCTGGTGAATTGCTGATAAAATCGAAGACGCGACTGATCTAGTTGTCCGACTACGCCGTCACTTGCCGAACATTCGACCTCTCGGCGCGTTTCGTCACACACAACCCACGTCTTTTATCTTTAAGTACCTGTCTCACGCCTCTCACGTATTTCTACGGGACGACACTGTTCGGCGTCTATTACAGCC